GTTGATCTGCCTGTTCTGTCCCCCACTCTGTCTCTGGTGAATCCTCTCACTGCCCCTGCAACTCTGGCCTGTACCCCAGTTCTGTATGAATAAATAAATCTCAAAAAAAAAAATAATAAAAAAAATAAAATAAGGAGGGAAAGGGGACATAGGAAGAGTCTATGTATAAAAATATGACTTTAAAGTAAGTGCCGGCTACTACTTAGCACTCTCATGTTTCAGGCGTTATACAATTTTAAACACATGTTAATTAACTTCATTCTCACATAAACCCTGGAAAGTAAGTATATTAACAGTGTTTTCAGATAAGATAAGGAGAGGGAGGCACAAGAATACAGAGCTATAACATAGGATGGTATAAAGTCTAAATGAACATATAATTTCTCCAAATCCATATTCTTAAATCCTTATGGACCTTTACAAATGTGTAATAACTTACAATTTTTTAAGTTTCTTGCCACCTTCAAATGGGCAGAATAAAAGGTAGCTGTGGGTTGAAGTATTTAATTTTTTTAAAGTATGTATTTTTTCCCAAAGATTTATTTATTTATGCACACAGAACTGGGGTATAGGCCAGAGGTGCAGGGGGTGGTGGGAGGATTAACCAGAGACAGAGTGGGGAACAGAACAGGCAGATCAACGAAGTACACTGCTGAGGGGAGCAGCAGGCTGGTCAGAAGAGGTCTGTCACACCATGTGGGTCACCTCTGGGGCCGGGGATCGAACTTGCACTAAAGTGGCTGCAGCTAGCTTGCAGTGCTGTGTCCTAACCCACTGTGCCACCATGGAGGGCCAGAAGTATTTAGGTCTTATGTGGAAGTATATCTAAACACTGAGCAATTTTAAATAGTACAATACTTGGCAATATTGAGTAAAGCTTGTGAAATTCCTCCTAATATGGCAAGTTTTATTAAAAAGGAACTTTATTCTCATGATTATGAATAAGAAAAATTGGGGAATGGTCCAAAGATTATTGTTGCCACCAGTTAACATAAATGCAGACATAATAATAATAATAATAATAATAATAATGACCTAAGTGCAAGTGGCTTTTCTTCCCTATATATTCTTTTTTTTTAAAAAAAGATTTATTTATGCATACAAGAGCTGGGATACAGGCCAGATATGTGAGATTCACCAGAGATACAGGGATTCACCAGAGCAAAAGGGGAGCAGAACAGGCAGATTGACTGAAATGCACTGCTGAGGGGAGCAGTGGGCAAGACAGGAGAGGTCTGCTACGTTGTGTGGGTCAGCTCCCTGGCCAAACTTGAGCTGCAGTGGCTGCGGACAGCTTCATAGTGC